TAGTGGCCGCCGCTCGTCCTCGGCTCCTGCCCGACTGCGCCCGCCCCCGCCGTCTCCGTTCGAGATACGGCCCGCCGCTGCCGCGCGGCCGCGCCTGGACGTCGCTGCGCGCCAGCTAGCGCCCGCGCCCGCTCGGCGCCCCGCCGCCCCTACGCCGACGCCGCGCGCGCCTGCAGGAGGGACGCCTGGCGGTGAGTACCTGCCACGCCGCAGCCCTCCCCTCGCTTTACTAGAGCACAGTCCGTCTTCCATGCGCGATGCATTCCGTTCTCAGGAGCCCGCAACTACGAGTACCAATACGCCGTGGAGGACTACGAGTCGGGCGCCAACTTCGGCCACGCGAGGACGCCAGGACGAGAGCGCCAAGGGCGAGTACCGCGTGCTGCTGCCCGACGGCCGCACGCAGATCGTGTGAGTACGAGGCGACGCAGGAGGGCTACCGGCCCCGTCATCCGCTACGAGGAGGCGAGGGTCCCTACCCCGCCTCCGCCTCCACCTCGCAGCCCAGCCAGCAGCAGCAGGGCGGCGCCTACTAGCCCCTCACGACCCATCATCCACCGAATGCACAGCTTGAAACTCACTGCACATAGTCATTGTATATGTATATATTGTATATAAAACATTTTGTAAAATAAATGCATTTATAAAAAAATCCTATTTTATTTTTGTTGATTTTGTATGTTGTGAATGTTTTGATTCCATAAATTGAAGCGGTGTATTAAATTAATCCTCAAATTATGAACAAAAACATGAAAAACAAAAAATAAGTATGAAAAATGGATTTGCAACGAATTTTGATTAAATAGCTGCCTTAAACCTACTTAAAATTTGTAATGGAACTACAATAAATGTTATCGGTGACCCTTGAGACAGAAAAAAAGATGTTTTAATCATTATTAATTTTAATGAGCATGTTTAATTCCAAAAATAAAAATTTGAAAAAGAAAAAAATATAATAAATATACAATTTTTTATGTCTTTATATTAATTGTGTACTTACAGACTTTGTACAAAATAAGATGAGTGATAGCACCTACGTTCCGCTTAACATACACCAATGCACATTAATTTGGGGTTTATCGTTATTTTATCCAACTTACCTCCTCGGTATTTATAACTTACCGGTAACATTTTCCGACATACAAATTTATTTTTCTATAAGAGCTATAGCTTCTGCTTTTTTCAAAAGGTTTCTTAGTTATTTTATAAAGTTAGATATATTCAAGAAAGTATTTTCGTAAGAAGTAATTGTTTCTTATTGTTAAAATTTGAAATTTTCAATTTTTGTTTTCCATCTTGATTTTTTTGGAAAGAGAGTTAACGATTACTTGACATTGGATATGCATCGGACTGCATTGAAATTTACGGGATTTTTTCTGATTTATTTGGTGACGTGAATGATAGCCGAACTTTTTTTAAAGAGCTAGTTGTAAATGTGGTTTTACAGGGAATGTGTGGCTAGCTAAAAGTTAAATTTCTAGCACTAGTGATAAAAGTGACCCGATGGCCAAGTGTTAATGTGAACTTCTGAATTTAACGAGGGAAACAAAAAAAAAGGTCTGACAAATTAGCAACTACTGCTCTTAATGCATCATTAGGTGATTTGTATAAATTAATTATCATTCAATGAAAGTCAGTGTGGCTGTTTAAAAAATAGTGTATGACAAGTAGTAAAAGTGATTATATTTTGCTCCTAGGATTTCGTCACTCGACCTACCGTGCGCGAGGCGCCACATTTCCTACTCACAAAATAAAACGTCACTCTTACCACTCGTTTCTTAAATAACTATTGGAACGTAAGCGTAAGACGTACTGCCTCACAATGAGCAAACATAACCCAGACACACGCAAAAAAAAAATTCGTTTCGCGTCTGGGGTCCATACCATGTTTTCTTATATATTTTGGGGTTCGAAAAATCCAAATCCGGATTCCATTTTTTACTGCATCACGTCAGGTTTTTGATATAATATCCAAAAGCATAGATAATGAAAGAGAATTCTAACCGAGGGGTCACAACATTTTATCTATATGTTTTTCGAATAGCGAAACCGAATATAAAGTTCGTTAAATTTCATCACTTCAGATTTTTTAAGCCAGTTCAATTATAATTGATAAAGGTGCCTGTGGCCCCTGACGGGACAACACTCATCGCGTTAAGTATGGCTGTATCGTTGGCGCCGGATCACTTTTCTTGTCTCTGAGAAGACTTAGTTGTTTAATTTTTTTGAGGTTATGTGAAAAATCTGATGTGATGAAGTTAAATGGACTTCAGATTCCATTTCAACGACCCCAGAAACATATTCATAAAATAGTATGAACCCACGGTTAGAAATATCTTTCATTTTTATATTTTTGGAGCTTACGTCAAAAACCTGATGTAATGGAGTAAAATGGTAACCGGATTCGCATTTAGCGATCCCAAAATATATAAGAAACATGTTTTGATCCCCAGGCACGGAAACATTTTTTTCCATAGCTATATAATCTATTGGGCAGACGACTCACTTAGATTAAATGATATTCCATGTTCAAGGAGGGATTCAATTTTTCATTTCTCGAAGGAATACGTAGGAGTAGTACACGTACTAGTACGTAATACTGCGGAAAAGCGATTTCAAGATTTTTCGGAAATTCACGTTATGGGGCCCTCTGATAGCGAAAAAGTGGTTTGTTTTTTAAAACCTCCCGTCCGTCCTCCCGTCCGTCCTCCCGTCCGTCCTCCCGTCCGTCCTCCCGTCCGTCCTCCCGTGTACACTGCATAATTTGCTTCCTAGGACGTCCGGGTCAAAGGCATTTACCCTCAAAGGTCGTACACTTAACAGAACAATTACTCCCTTGAACAATAACGTTTAATTAACATAATACGAGATTTTAGAAATAAATTAATATTACTAATACTGGACCCTTCGATAGAAACGCCAACTATAATACTTTGCCACAGTGTACATACATCTATGTATCTCAATGATTGTAACACCATTCGTTTCCTTCGCTGTAGTGCAAACAAAGCTACTTCAACCGGTCTGGATAGCAGAGTTCGCTAAGGCTGAAATGCCATAGCTGCATCGGCTCGAAGGGTGGCGGTTTCCCGTCTTGGCCGTGATGTGCATTTAAAAAAATAGATGTTTTGCCTCATTTTGAAAAAAAAAGCAAATGAAAAAATGTTAGTTAAAAGACAACGTACATTGAGCGAAAATCTCTAAATATTATGATATGTGATTGGGATTTTATTCATCACAATTTTCCTAGAACAGTCCAAGGTTCTTAACATTTTCCTAGTGCCCCGTCAAATAATTTCGAGACACAAAACTATCCTGGGTTTAAAAAAATATAAATCGATTGTTGGCTGGGCTATCCGGGACAAGCCGCGTCGAAGTCATGGTGGCTGACGTTTCGGCCAGCGTATTGTGGCCTTCTTCAGAGCGTACTGCTGCCAGATGGCTAGCGCGCTGGCCTACGCAACCAAATATAACCAAGCCTACGCAACCAAATATAAATCGACATTTTCTGATAGCGTATATGGTTATATTGAATCCGTGATTTTGAAATTCACAATGAAATGTTGATCGCAAAGTATCGTTATAATTATTAGTTCGTTTGTTCACGTCATTCTTTTTCGGTATCATATTTAAAATGAGTGTTAAGTTAGTATTCGAAATAACTGCGGGCAGTTTAATACAATTTTATGTTAGGAAAAAACAACAAAATGCGAGAAAGAAAGTGTGATTTCAGTGCAAATTTAAAGGCGCAATCCCGTTTATAAAAGGAACTACTGACTGTTCCAAAGACAAAGAGCAATGTCGTGCCTGCCATTTTATATTTTAAATTTTTTGAGTTAAAAAATCGGAGCTTTGTAATTATCAGTTCGTTCGTAATTAATGCACTCTTTTTTAATTCGCTGAAAGGAGGAAAATATTTCTGTGATCACAAAGTATTATGAATAACGGTATTATGTTTCATAGAGACCTCACCTCCTTAATCATATTTTGTTTTGTGTCGTGGTTTTTCGTTTTAAATATATAGGATTTCTTTATGAGTGACATTTAAAAAAATACTTTTGAGCATACTTTTTGAGAAATCAAAATGTATTATTAAATACATTTTTGCATCTCGAAATTATATGACGGAACACTGAGAAAATGTTAAAAACCTCAGAGAGTTTCGGTAAAACTGTGATTAATGATATCCCTATCACATATTATGAGATTTAGAGATTTTAGCTGAATGTATGTTGTTCTTGAAGTATTATTTTTTCCTTTGATTCTTTCAAAATTACGCAAAACAACTGATGTTTAAAAAAAACTTAATTTAATTGAAGTTTCACTTATGAACACTTTCATTTGGAAAAATATATGTACATTCCATAATGAAGCTCAATGGTACAGTTACCAAAAGTGTTTGCAATTTTAAAAACCTTCAAAGACAGTGACAATCATACCTCAGCCATTATTGTAACAGTATTTTGCTCTATTCGAGAATAAAATTTTAAGAGAAAATTTCCAGCCATTTTGAAGAAAAGTTTGAAATTTTTTCCAGGAGGATCATGAAAGTACTCTGAAAATTTATCTATCGAAGAATATTTATTTTGGAAAATATCCAACAAAAAGTAAACGCGCATGTAGTTCTCAAGACCGGGGTTTTGAACAAGAACATTTTCTGTGTCAGGCGATCCCAAATGTGTGTTTCTGATAAAATATTTAAATCGATTTTGCACAGCATTATGTAACATTCTCTACTTCAATTCCAAGTTGTTCTAACATTATATATTATTTCTTTAGATATGATGAAGAAAAACTGAAAATGTATTTCCTAGGAAGAGCGGAAGTAAATTAGTGTTTGACCATTCAGACAAATTTGCCCTAAATTATATTTCAGACGAGTCGATATATTATTAATAAATCACTTTATCTTTTAGTTAAATATACGCTTGCTTTGCAAAAAAATCCATCCGTATTGTGTTCATTGAGCTGAAGATATATTCAATATGCTATTTTCACAGATGTTTAGAAGAGAAAATATCCTTGATGCACCTGCAAAGAGAAAACCAAGTGGCTCGCTACATTTCCGCATTCGCAATGAAAACATCGACTGATACCCCGATCGAAGAAAAGTCGGGCCATGTGGTTCGATCGAAGCCGCACAGAAGGTTTCGCCTCACACGGTCACCTCCTGCCTCCGAGAGCTCCGCTCGAGTGGGAAAGGGGGAGAGGGGAGGGGGGTTACTTCACCGATGGAATTTCTCGAGGAGCATCGCAGCGAAAGGTAGACGAACAGAGGGACACTGTGCGCGGCGGCAAGGGCGCCACTCTGCCCGCCCCTCCCCCTCTTCTCCCCCTCGGAGAGCACCATGACGCGGGCAAAGTCGTCAATCTCGAGACGGAACAGAACCAATGTGAGTGTTTAGTAAGGCCTCCCTGCTGCTCGCTGCTGGTGCGAGCTGGAGGCGAGGCGGTAGGGGCCCTCGCCTCCTCGTAGCGGGATGACGCTGTAGCCCTCTCTGGTCCCGCCTCTACTCCACATCTGCGTGCGCCGTCGGCAGCAGCACTCGGTACTCGCCCTTGTCTTTTTGCGCTCTCCGTCCTGGGCGGTCCTCGCGTGGCCGACAGTTGGCGCCACGACTCGTAGTCCTCCACGGCGTCTTGACTCGTAGTGGCGGGCTTCCTGAGAACGGGAATGCATCGCGCATGAAGACGGGACTGGCCTCTAGTAAAAGCGAGGAGAGGCTCGGCGGTGGGCAGGTTACTCACCGCCAGGCTCGTCCTCCTGCGCCCGCGCGCGGCGTCGGCGTTAGCCGGCGCGGGCGCCGTAGACGGGCCGGGCGGCGTAGCTGGAGCGGGCTGCAGACACGCGAGCGGGGCGCGGCGAGACCTCAAACGGCAGCGGGGGCGCCTACTGCTCAGACGTAGCGGGAGCAGAAGCGGCGGGGGCGGGGCAGCCAGCTCGGCAGCGAGCAAAAAACCGTACTGGGGTAGAAGGGAGCAGAGATTGCGGGCGGAGCACCGCGTACTGCGGAAGCGAGCGGAGATGGCGCGCGCGATACCAGACGGCAGGGGGCGCCCAAAAAACTTGCGAGAAGGAGCCGAGAAGATTGCGGGGCGTCGGGGCCAGAGGCGGGGCCCGCCTACTGGGCTACGGAAAGGAGCGGAGGATCGGGGGCGAACACCCAGACCGGCGGCCGCGCCCCCAAAACTGGCCAGAAGGAAGCGGCGATGCGGTGGGCCAAGAGGGGCAGGGCGCCTTTTTACAGCTGGAGGGGGGCGGAAGAAAGCGAGGGGCCTGCGTTGCAGTACCCCTTTCTGTTGGGGACTGGGGGGGGCGCTCTGCCAGAAGTGCCAGCCCCAGAAGGGGCCGGCGAGAAGGCTAAAAAATCTTTTTCCCCTTCTTTTTTGGTGTTTTGGCGTCAT